TTTAACGCCGATAATATAGCTTGTGCAATATTTCAATTTTTCATCACATTTGTACCGAGTAAGATATTTTGGATTTGAATCGAGCAACGAAAATACTCTCCCACACACACACACACACACACACACACACACACACACACACACACACATATATATATATATATATGTTATATGTATAAATATATACATATAGAAAGATAGCTCCGCGGTCTTGATCGCAACAGCCGATGCTTGCGCCAGAGTTCCTCACACTGCAAACGCGTTCCTTTTCCCACTGCGTTCCCCTTCCCACAGCTGTTCTAACAGCGGACCACATTAACCCCCCATAAGGTTTCCATGGCAACGGGGGAAGTAGAGAGTCACTGCCTGCGATCCTGGATTTACATACACACAACATATACATACACGCACGCACGAACACACACGCACACAAATACACACACACACATACACCACACTCACACACACCCTCACACACGCACACAAACACACAAGCACGCATACACACACTCACACACACCCTCACGCATGCACACAAACACACACGCGCGCGCGCACACAAACACACATATATATACACATACATATAAACATGTATACATCGATTAACACATAGAGACCGGGTCTGTGATTCCTTCTCGTGCATTTTTGTATACAATATATACACACTGTATACAGGTATACGGACATTCACACACATAAATATACATAGGTGTGTATGTATTTGTATGTATGTGTATGTTTGTGTGTGTGTGTTTGTGTGCGTTTTATGTGTATCTGCGTGTGTGCGTGATATCCACACATTTACCGAGGTCACGGCTGTAAGAAATCTTTAAGCAAATCCCATGCTTGTGTCTTTCCTCTCCCGCGTTCCTGAGGCGACTGCGGGTCCCATCAACTCGGTCCTGAGACGTCGATCAGCGGAATGACCCAGAATCGCTGAAGTTGAGCAGAAAAAAGACTTTTGTAGCAACTTTTCGCTCGTAGTAAGGAAGGAGGGGGAATTTAACACGCTGTGGAAGATATGTAAAGAAAAAAATGTTTATATATAAAAAAACGTAAACTTTACAGCGATTTCTTTTATATTTTTAGTTTTCTCGTCTTATACAAGGGGTTCATAGGGTTTATGTATTACGATATTATGTAATATTGCATTCCTACAGAGAATATTGGAGCCTTCATTACATTACTATGTAATGCCTGAATCATGACAAGCAAATGACACAAATGAATCACTAATTTCGTAGATGATGTATTATCAATTACAAATGTTTTCTTTCGTTTTCTTTTTAGTATCTTTCGTATTCATGAAAACTGTATTCTGCCGCAAATCTTTATAGTACGAACTCCACGAAAACAATCTTATTATATTTCATTCGGCGATATTGATAATTGACTCAGTTACGGAGGACGGTTCCCAGAAGTTACAGTGTTGTGGGATTCCCAACATCGTATCATACCAAGGACGTATTGTGAATTATTAACGCTACAAACACAAAATTGCTAAGTTATGGAGACTTACCAAGCACTGACAGACCTGCAAAAGGGTACTCATTCGGGGAGGTCAATGTCCTCTGAGTTCTGTCGTCCTAGAATTTCGCAGTACTGGAGTAATGCTGTATAGATTACTACGTCTCAACGTCGTTAAGATGCTGTTGGTCATGACTAAATGTAAGATGGGAAATAAGACACAACCGAGTACGATGTAAAGAAAAAGATATAGTGCAAGGCCATCCCATGTTCTCCTGAAAGAGAGTCATGTCATACGTCCAGTTTGTGAAAATGGTGCGAGGCTGACCCAAGAAATTTACACTACGGACATCGTACACACAGAAATAAATGCATACCCACCTATCTGCTAGATACACATCTATCTTAATAGTAGATATGCATGTCTCGACTGATAGATATACATTTCATTTCTGTGTATATGTTTATGATAAAAATTAATTGGGTCTTT